TTTGGGTGGGTGGGTGGGTGATTGGGTGGGATGCCTCGTCGTTTATCCTTCTCGCCCTCTGTTCTTGCTCACTTTGCTCACTGTACATCCGTGTCCCTCTTCCTTTTCAGTCGTTCGTCTCTCTATGCAGACCGTCTGGCCTCCCGCGACCCCTGCGAGCTGTTGGCGTCTTCCACGCCATTCAGCACTCGTTCCTGCACCCGCGCCCGCGCCGCTCCACCAGGAGGTGGGTCCGCCTTTAAACTTTTGTCGTGCCCAGACGTCTCAGGCTCGTGCGTGGAGAGAAACGGGCGTGGCGGCGTCGCTGCCGTCGACGTTGAGGCGTCCGCCGGCAGCTTGAATGTCGGCCCCGGCGCGTCATAACCCGCCATGGAAGACTGGGCCTCCAGTGGCTGCTGTCGCCGCCTCCAGACTGCCACGTACTCCTCCAGCCGCTGCTCAATGGCGGCGAGGAACAGGTTCAGCGTGCCGCGCGAGAGGGCAGCCACGCCGTGCTGGGCGACGATGAGGCTGTCGTCGCACCCCAGTGCTTGGAAGATGGACTGCACGTCTGGTAGGACGGCATCGAGCTGCGACCGCACGCACTCCGCCTGCTGCTCTTGCTCAAGCGTCTCGCTTTGGACCTGGAGCAGCTGTGCCTGCAGCTCCTCTAGCTCCTCACGCGCGCGTTGCTCGGACTCAGGGCCGCCTGTCGCACGCCGCCGCGCCTCCTGCAGCGCATCCCTTTCCTGCTTGAGGGCAGCAACGGTGTCCTGCGTGCGGTGCAGCACGGAGTACAGCTTAAACCGTCCCTCACCGCCCTCACACACGTAACTCTCTATATCGGAAAGGTTCTCAGAATCGGCAATATCTGCAAGCCGACTGATGTAGCGCTCGAACTCCGCCAGGTGCAGAGAAACGCCCGTGTTGTCCCCGTCACCGTCATTGTCGTGACTGACGTTCATCATTGTGGCCCTGCGGAAGGCGGTGTCATCCTCGCCAAGGAGACGCTCCGCAGCCTCGCGCTCGGTGACGACCTGCTGCATTTCCCCCTGCAGCTTAGCGATGCTCTCACGCAGTTTGGCCTTCACCGTCTTGTCACGCTCCTCCACGCTAAGTAGGTCGTGGAAGGTCCTTTCATAGGCCTCATTGTCCGCCTCGAAGGCCCGCTGAAGCTCCACCAGCTGCCGCTGACAGGCGTCACGCTCCTCGCAGAGGACGTTGCAGACCTCAATAAGGAAGGAGCTCTCCTTCATCACCTCTAACATGTCATGCTCGCGGTCCCGAAAAAGCTCGCCCGTGTTTCGCTGCGCCGTCTGCAGCACATCAATCTCCGTCCGCAGCTCCTTCACCGCGTCGATGAAGCCTGAGCGACGATCCGTCTCAAACTCCACATGGGCCTCCAGCCCGCGAAGTTGGGAACGCGAGGCCCGCGTCTGCAGCTCAATTTCGGCGCAGCTGCGTCGTGGCAGCTTGCTGGAGAGAGAAGCACGTGAGCGGGCGCCAATAACCTTTCGCCGCGTCTCGTGAATGCGCTGCCGCGTCGCGAGGACCCGCGCCCTTATCTCATTTAATTCGTCCCGGGATCGCTCAACTGCCTCACGTGCCATGCAGTACTTGCGCGAGGACGCCTTGAGCAGCTTGGACTCCCCGCCGTGGGCAAGCGCGCCCTGCAGCACTTCCCGCGGCGCCGTCTGCATCATGCGCATCTCTTCAATTTTCGTCTTGTACTTGTTGTTCTCAATGCGCAGCAGCTCCAACTCCTGCTCCTGCCTGGCACAGTCGCGGCGGAAGCGATCCTCCATTTCGCGCAGCTGCAGCTCCGCCTGCACGCAGCGGCGCCGTAAAGACTCTAACAACGTGGCGCCGGCACCGCGCGGCGACGACAGCGCCGCATCGTTTCGCCTCAGCGCGGGTGAGCCGCTGGGCCTGGCGCCTTCTACCTCCGACATGCCACTGAAGTGGAAGCAGACGCCCCCACGCAGAAACCGAAAATGCCGAGCGACCTACGCTGAGCCAAGAGGAGAGATAGAAGAAGAAGAAAAAATCCGAGAGGGAGAGAGAGAGAGAGAGAAAAGGAAAGTCATGGAAGAAAACACCACACAGCAGGCATGGAGTCTTGTGCCGTGCAACCAGGCAATGCCGGGGCATGCAGTTACAGCCAGTAGAAGACAGAGAAGGGGGGAGGGGGCCAGAGAGAAAAAAACGTCTCCCCGACGGAGGAGGTGCCCCAAGTATACAGCCAAACAATACAAGCCGGGAAGAGAGCAGAGAAAGAGAAGCCGAGTCTGTGTGTAGGAAAAAGGCACGCAAGAACAATAACAACTTATATGTCTGCATCCACAGACCCGAACGCATCCGTGCCATTCCAGCGTTCAAAAGTTCGCAACAAGCAACTGCAAGTTCCCTCTATTAATAAACGGCACCTGTCAAGAGTGTGGCGGGCCGTCGAGTAAGTCATGAATCTGTTTAACTTCCAAACGCAGCATGGCTGCCTCGCGCTGTTGTGCCTCATACATCGCAAGCACCGTGCGAAGACGGCGGCGCAACTCGCTATTACTATTTTGATAGTAAAGTGCCTCCTTCGCCAGCAGGCCAAGTTGGTCTTCACCCGCCGTCAACGGTCTAGCTCCCTCACCACGGGCCTCCCCATTGACGTTGGCGTAGTCGCACCTATCTGCTGCAGTCGCCGCCGCGCCCTCTTCCCACCTGGCAGCATCAACCGGCCTCTTCAAGGACCCGGTTTGTAAGCGCCGCTCATGCCGCTGCGCCGCCGCCTCTTCTCCCCAGACAGTTTGAAGTGGCTGGGACGCGGGATGGGAAAGGACTCTGTGCTCGCTCTTCTGAGGCGATATGCCGTAAAGCTGCAGAGTACTCTGGATATAGTTCTCGTTGGGCAAAACCCGCTCAGGCGTCCTCTGCTGCTGCTGCTGCTGCTGCTGCTGAGGTTGCTGACAACAGTCATGCTTCATGTCCGGCGTTGAGCGCGGCGTGGCGGTTGGACGGCCCTCAAGAAATGCCACCCGCCGCCTCAGTGACTCATTTTCCTCCAGCAGCAGTCGCATGTCTTTGATCTGCTGCGCAAAGACCGCCTCATCGTTTTTAAGCTCGTCGCGGCACCGTTGCACCTGCTCTTCGAGTGCCGCAACTCGCTGCCGCAGCCTTGCCGTCTCCGCTGGCGCCGAAGGAGGAGTGTCTCCGCCGCCTCTGGCGCTGGCATCTCGTCGCGCCGCCTCCGCCGCCGACACCTGCTCGTCGAACTGCGGCAGCGGCTCGTTCAGGATGTGCATGGCGAGGGCACCGTACTGCAGCGTTCGCGTCGTCTCATCGCCGTTCGTTGCGTCCGCGGCGACGCACGCGATGAGGAGCGTGCTGCTGTTCCCCCCAAGCGAGTCCCGCAGCAGACGTGTGAGTTTGCTGCTGCGGTACGGCACATGACGCGGATTGTCTGGGAACTGAAAGTGATTGCGACTGAGAGCCCGGATGACGTTTCCCAGCGCCAGCAACCCCCCGTTGATGGCAATACTCTCGCGGAAGCGCAGCCCCACGTTCTGAGTCTTTTTGTTGCGCTCCGACCCCGCCAGGTCTACAAGGTTCAGCTTCGACTGCCGCTCGTGGTTAAAGATCGTAAAGATGCTGTGGCTACGCGAGGAGTGCTCGTGCACGTTCGTCGCCCCCGTCGTGCGCATGCGGGCACCGTGGGCGATGATGTCTTGCACCTCGGCGATGCTGCGGGCCTTCACCCGCGAGGCGCCCACCACCACCACCGCACCCCCGTCGCCGTCACTCTCGTGCAGCTGCAGGTGCTTCGTCGAGACGGCGGGGTCACTCGTGAGGAGGTCGCGCAGCGCCTCCCCGTACACCTCGACGCACTGGAAACTGAGCTTCGACGTGGAGTTTGACATGTTCTCCACGATGTAGCGCACCACAAGCGGGGTGAGGCCTTCCATCGTGTAGGTCTTCCCCGTGCCCGTCTGCCCGTAGGCGAGGACGGTGGCGTTGTAACCGGCGAGGAAACGGTCGACAAGCGCCACCACACTCTCAAAGAAGATCAAATCCGTGGACTCGTGGCGGTCGTACACACGATCCACGTGATAGACGCGGCGATTTGCCACGCAGACACTCCGCTCGTCGAGCCGCACAGTGGCAAGCAAACTGTCAGGGGTCGGCAAGGGCCGAATGCGGGCCGCAACGCTCACCTTCTCGGTCATTCGTGGCGTCCACAGCACGCACACGAAGAGAGAGAGATAGAGAGAGGGAAAACGAGGAGGAGAACAAGAGAGAAACTATTTCACCGCCTCCCCTCTCCCTCCCTGCTGCTGCGACTTTTGCAGCTGCAGAGCGAGAAGGTATGTGTATGTATGTATGGATGGATGTATGTATGAATTGAGACAAAACACGCGCGGGAAAAACTGCGCCCCTGTTTCCTTTTCCTATTTACACGGAACTATGTCCGGCTATTTGAGCAAAGCGGCGCGGAGAAAGGAGCGAAGCAAAATAATACCAATAATAATGAGAGGGTACTCGCACGGCATGGCGAGCCCAAGGCAGGCAGATAGAGGAGGGAAGCAATAAGGAATAAAAGGAAGGGGATGGAAAGAAAAGGGCGATGGTAAGTGCAGAGTCATTAATGGAATAGTCATCAACT